CTTTTTAAAAACGAAGAAAAAATAACAAACGATATAAATCGTTCGAACAAACAAATTTTCCAAAAGATTTTGACATGCACGATCGTTTTTTACTGAACGAACGATTTTTTGGAACAAACTTTAAAAAAAATATTTTTTATCTGAACGAACGATTTTACTGAACGGTCGTTCACTGAGAAAACCAACGAAATAAATGGAAAATGAACGATCTTATTGGGAACGAACGAAATAATTTTTTTCAACGATTGAAAAAAAAACTATCGAACTATGGGTCGTTCACAAACGATAAACGAACGAAATGAAAAAGTCCGAACGCGCGCATCTCTAGTTAGTTCCAAGTCCCCCTGTATACGCCCCAGCTAGCTTAGATGATCTTAAGGAATTATTAGTGGTCCAATAAACATTGTTTTGCGTCTCTTAAAAAAACTGTATTTTTACATTTTTCAAAAGTGATCTTAAAACGAAACAATTAATACTTGACAAACATCTGGCTCAGAATCAGTTGGCTATTTCATTTGGTTCAAATTTTTGTTTTATTCGATAAAATATGAATAAAATGAAAATATTAATAAATGATTTGGTTTGGAAGCAAAATCATTGAATCGTAAATAATGTTACACGAGGTTGCATCAAATAAAAATTTACAATATTTATATTTTTATATTGACACGAGCAGGAAATATTCACTGAAGGGGGAGGGGGTATTGATCCCCCCTTTCGTTACCTTTTTAAAATATTGCCAAAATTATTCATGCACAAAGGTAGAACATTAACGGCATCATTTGAAGTTTTTTTATTCCTGCTGTATTTTTATAAATGTATATTTATCATGTACAATATCTATACCAAAACTACATTTTTAAACTATTATGCATGACCGACAACGCCCTGGCTTTAAAGTCTAAAATCATGAAAATAGTATGGGTTTGATTTCAATATTAAATACGGTATGAAAGGTATTAGAACACTAGTTCTGCAAAAAAAAATTTTCTGGGAGTAAAACAAAATGGCGGGCCAGGTTCTTTATATTTATTTTATATTTATATTTGATTACAGAACTGTATTATTGTATGAAGGAATTCTTAATTAATACACATTTTAAACTTAAAGGGAATGCTCTTAAAAATAATGGGTTAATTATTCAACGCTATATTTTTATACCATCTGACGTTATTGTCAGGATACTGCATAAAGACCATTTGAAACCATAACCTTTCCTGGGGTCACGTGAAATCCCACAAAAAAGTTGGGCTAGATCGGTTCAGCCGTTTATAAGTTTATTGGATACAACAGAATATTTTTATAATATTTAAAGGCACCTTCTTAATAAATAAAAAACTTTCTGCCCCAAAATTTTATAGGACTGCGAACCAAAAAAATGGTGTTGTAAATAGTTATTATTTGATTCTATTACGATTATGAGATTAAAAAAAATGGTGTTATAAATAGTTATTATTTGATTCGATTACGATTATGAGATTCCAAAAAATGTGCACTGCAATGCAGATTATGTATAAATGGCTGCAGTCTGCAGTTCTAGCTAATAACATGATTTGATTCGTTGACATTTTTCATACTTTGCTAACATTCCCTTTAATAAAGGGCAGAGATTAACGGTAGCAATTTAATCGGACTAAATCCATTTTAAAGCTTGATATTTTATGTAAGATCATTTTACGATGTAAACTTTACTTCATACAATGCATTTCACTTCTTGCAGCTCACTGTTCACTGCACAGACAGGATAAGTAGGGTAGCTCACAGATAATACAGATAGGACACAAGGTGTAGCTCACAGATAATACAGATAGGACACAAGGTGTAGCTCACAGACAAAACAGATAAGACAAGAGAGAGGTAGATCACAGATTATTCAGAACGGACAAGAAGAGGAACTCGCAGATAATACAGATAGGACAAGAGGTGTATCTCACAGACAAAACAGATAAGACAAGAGAGGTAGATCACAGATTATTCAGAACGGACAAGAGAGGGAGCTCACAGATTATTCAGATAGGACAAGAGAGGTCGAGTCACATATCATCTATATATAAATTTGGCTTGTCTGTTTGTCTGTCTGTTTGTATCCAATAAACGTCAAAACGGCTGAACCGATCGGGCCCAAATTTTTTTGTGGGACATCTAGGGACTCCAGGGAAGGTTTATGAATGATCAAAATTTCAAATATTTGTCTCCATTAAAATTCGATCGTCATTAAATTTTTTTAAATTTTGAAAATCCACGAAATTTTTTGTGAAAATCCGCGAATTATTTTTGTTTTGTTTTACGATGTACACAAAGAGAACATGTTCACAATTAATTTAGAAGATGGGCGCGAAGAGCCCTCTAAGGCTAGTCTATATATAAATTTGGCTTGTCTGTCTGTCTGTTTGTTTGTATCCAATAAATGTCAAAACGGCTGAACCGATCGGGCCCAATTTTTTTGTGGGACATCACTTGACCACAGGGAAGGTTTATGAATGATCAAAATTTTAAATATTTGTCTCCATCAAAATTCGATCTTCATTAAATTTTTGAAAATTTTGAAAATCCACGAAATTTTTTTGTTCTGTTTTACGATGTACACAAAGAGAACATGTTCACAATTAATTTAGAAGATGGGCGCGAAGCGCCCTCTAAGGCTAGTTTAAAGAAAAGAAGAGAGGGGGTCACATATTATTTAGATAGGACAAGAGAGAGACCTCACAGATTATTCAGATAGGACAAAAGAGGGAGCTCACAGATTATTCAGATAGGACAAAAGAGGGAGCTCACAGATTATTCAGATAGGACAAAAGAGGGAGCTTACAGATTATACAGGTTGGACAAAAGAGGGAGTTCACAGATTATTCAAATAGGAAAAAAGAGGGAGCCTCCAGATTATTCAAATAGGACAAAACAGGGAGCCCACAGATTATTCAGATAAGACAATAAAAGGATATAACAAATTACACAGAAATGACAAAAGAGGTAGATCAAAGATTTTACAGAAAGAAAGAGTTGAAACACATGGATTACACAGATAGGTCAAGAGTTGCAAAACATGTATTATACGATAGGACAAGAGTTGCAACTCATGGATTACACAGATACGACAAGAAAGTGAGCTCACAGATTATACAGATATCAGAGGTTAGGAAAGGGAGCTCACAGATTCTTCAGATAGGTCAGCAGTTAGAAAAGTTGTATTCATGTATTTATAATTCTGTTAAAAATGAAAACAGGGAAATCAAAAAATTAAAAAACTCTCTCTGTCAAAACTCAACGAAGATAATAAATGTTTTCAAATTAAACAATGACTCGTCACTAAAGATTTATTGATGGAATTTACCTCATTTTATTATCTTTATAACCTATACGCATTTTAATTGCGTAAACCCTTTTACGCTTCACTTTACCTTTCACTACGCATTTTGCGTATTAAAGTTTAAATTAATACTCTTTAAATGCTTAAGAAAACTGTGAGTGTGTGACGCAACTTCTTGTAAATTCAAAGCGTCATGTTCATGTTTATTTTTGCGTCAATCTTGAGTCATGGTTATAATGCTTCTCAAGTAGTTTTAAGAAGCAAAATGTACCCAAGGTTATAATGCAAGGAAAGTTATTTCAGAGGTGTACGCATATTTTGTACTGCAATGTACTGTCTCTGGGCGGTAATGTAAACACAAGACGGAGGTCACAGCCTGAGATTTTGCATTATAACCTTTATTTACCCATTATTTAGCAATATGTACACGTTTCATGGCTGTTTACAAAAATACTAAAATTTTAAAATATTTAAGATATTTTTTTAAAACATAGAAAAATGGATTTTATATTTACATTTTCAGGAAGTAGATTTGTAATTTTGATATGAAAACTAGAAATTTTACCTTTATGTTATTTGTCAACACCAATTACAATAGTTTTAACTTGACTCTAATGTCACGGTGAAACTTCTATTTTCCCTGAACTTGATATTTTGTATGCAGAATACTACAGTTTATTGAAGAAGAAATGTTGATATATTTAATACTACTACTACGCAAATCCGCTATACTCCACTTCTGACCTACGCCAAATCCGCTATACTACACATCCGACCTACTAGCAGGTGGTTTTACAGGTGCTGGATGGACTTTTGGCCGCAGCGCTCGGCCCATAGTAACTGACTTCATCTAATCAGACCCTGACCTCTACAAAAATAAACAGCTGGCGTTTAGGTCCGATATTGCAGTAGGTCAGAAGTTCAGTAGGAGGTATGTTTCGTATAGACGATGTAACATTATCTAATACTCACGGTCACTCTTGGGATAAAATATTGAAACTGAGGCAATTGTTGTTTCTGCAAAATTTATTTTTGATACGTAATACGTAATAAACTTTAAAAATGATTATTTCAATTTTGCAAGATAAGATTATCCCAACAACTTATTTAAAGGGGGGGGGGGCGCAAATTTGTCGTTGTACCCCATTTTAGGAGAAAAATGGGTGCACAGCTGACCTCCTCCCCTAGCTACAGTTTTCATCAAAGACGACTTTCGATTAAAATTTTTTTGTTCCAAGCTTTCAAACAAGATAGATTGGATTCACACTACACATAAACATGGAAACGAAGAAAAGCTGCCAAGTAATAAATTCTCTTTGCTCATTTGTAAAAAGCTTGTTACACATCAAACTTTACTTAAAACGTCGTCTTCATATTGATATAAACGCCGACAACTGCACATTATTTATGTTTACCATTAATAACTCAACTCTAATCATATTAATGATATTCTGTATTAAAGTAAATAGGTAATTGTAACCCAGAGAAGAAACGCAGATATTCTGAGGCAAGTAAATGGAAGACGACATATATTTACATCTTTTTCTAAATCTCGAAACATTGATTCCTTTCAACCTTTATGAACATTTATTCAAGTAAATCCGAGAATTCTGTCAGTTTGAATTCATACATATATTTAGATATTTTTTACATGATTTCAACGAAATTATAAAATAGTTAGGAGAACATTGTATTCTATATAAATGTATATTTATTGTGTGACGATTGCCGGTTTATGTAACAATAATCATTTGTACAACGACTTAGTAGCAATTCATAGCATGTGAAATTTATAAAAAAACATTTTAAAGTATTAATTTAAGAAACATTTTTTCAGTTTAAATATTTAAGAATTAATATTTGAAACCGTTTCGTGGCGGATGAGAAAATGAACATCTGTCTCCTTTTATACAATTCCCCTTCTCCATCCAAAACGTGCAAGGTCGTCCGGCGTACGGGAAAGGACGATCTCCATGACCGGACCTCATAGGACCACGACGATGACGATAATTATGATTATTATGATGACCGCGGTCACTCTCAGGGAATTGGTGGGGAGCCGCCGGCGGGGCGGTGAAGTTCGGCGGTGGGACGTTAAAGTTGGCAGGTAACTGTATTTCAGGTTTCGTAGATTTTTCATTAGGTTCACTTTTACTCATCGAGGTCATTCTCACAATGTCTTCTAAAAGGCCCGGCTTAAATGTCGACAAAATGTCTGATAGTTTTGTGGCAGCCGGTTTCACCGGTTCTTCTACAACCGGATCCTCACCGCGTAACCGGTCAAAATCACTGAGAGGTTCTTGGCTTCCGCCTTTCAATATCGGCGGCCAACCGGCCGGCGCAAAGTCTGTAGTTGAATCGTCAGCCCCCTCGGTAATCCCGCTATTGAGATCAATCTGTGGGATGGGTTTAGGTTTGACATCACTTGGTTTGCAGGGTTCAGGTTCGGTAGGATCCTGGGGGAGTTGATTCTCCAGGTAGAAGCTACATAGGACCCTCATCTCACGCTCAGATTGCACTTCTCTCTCCTGCAAAATTTAGAAAATTTTCAATCTATAATCTTGTAATTTTTTAGTTTGAAAGATTCTATTTAAAAAAATTAAAGCTCGTAAAAAATTAAGAGCATTTGTAAAAAATAATATTCAAAAAAATTTATATTTGAAAGAAAAATATTTACCTTGCTATCGTTTCCATATTCTACAGGATGCTTAAAGTCCAAGGGTATCAGTGTCCAGGCAGCCTTAACAAAATGTGAATTATTAAATTTTCGACAATAGCAATAGCAACAGCAACAGCAACAACAACAATAGCAATAACAACAACAACAACAACAACAACAATAATAATAACAACAAAAAAAGTCCTCAGATATGATTGAATCTGTGTATGTATAAATATAACGTGAGTAATATGATAGCAAAGGTATCTTTATATTTAGGTCATACAGTATACAATTTTTTAAAACCACAACACAGTAAACAACAATTTTGTGTAGGAAAATTGCTGTTTGTAGATAAACTATTTTTGTGCATAAAAATTAAGGATTAGAATAAAAGCATCAGTGTACGCAAATACCCATGCAATTTAGTGTACATTGTATACTGAAGTTAATGTGACCAGACGTCAAAAAATGGTTGAAAGCAAAATTAAAAAACCTAAATTAATTAAATTTCTCCAACCTCCCCCCCCCCCACCATCATTTCCCACATCAACACCACAAAGATGTTTAAAAACAACAGGAAATAAAAAACGCACACTAGCTCTGTGTACAGTGTACAGTTTACAGTGTACACAGTACACAGCGGAAGTATAAATGTACATGGCAGTACTATGACGACCTAACAACGCAGAACTTATATCGTGGTACATCATCTTTTTTTTCTTACAGGACAACTCAGTTTGTTCTCAACTTAATAAAATCGTTATGAAAACTATTAAAATACTAAAATACTTCAAATAAGTATAGAATAAAGATTTAATTAAATGAAATTAGTCCATCGGAGCTAACAGACAGGACCAAAAAATTATTTTTCTTCGAAAAAATCCGCAAACTTTAGTAACAAATAATCTCTTAAATAAACTTACGGATAAAAAATTAAAAACACTTGCAAAACATGTCATTAATCGTATATTAAACAAGATTATATTTACAAATATTTTGTGAATATATCTGTATAGAAAATATATATTTATACTAAGCACAGATCCAACTATATCCCGAGGAAGGCAGAGGACAGATACCTCGGGCTTCTCATTCAACTTCATCTTCTCCATCTCCTTCTCTTTCTGCTTCATCTCGACAAAGGTCATCTTCTGCTTGTACACATTGGTTCTCTCAGTCTCATCACAGTCGAAATATTCAATCTACAAGAAATACAACATTTCCTATTAACAGCTTTTAATTAGAACATATCAAGGAAAAACAGATATCTATAAAAAATATATGTATTTAGCTTGCATGTAACAACAGTCATAAAAACGGTTGAATCGATTAGGCTGACATTTATTATAGAATCAGTAGATTTCTTTAGCTTTAAAATGCATCAAGAAAAAATTGAGGAATGTAAAAGCAACGATTGAAAGCTAGAAATATGGCTAAAAAATAAAGTAAAGGATCCGAAAAGTATTTCTAAACAAAACATGGGTCATAAAAAAGAATTAATGAATAAAAATTCTAAATTCTTTTTTTAAAACTAACCTTGACGAGATTGTTATCTGGTGTCCAGGATAATCTCTTCTTATTCTTAAACCCTCGCGCATATATCAATATACCTAGAAAATATTATACATATTTTAGCATGGAACACAACATTTGAAACAAGAGCATATAGTTATAGCAGAGAACATAAAATTAAAATAAATATAAAGATAAATTATAATTTATAATATATATCCATTCTCTCAACTAACTTTTTAGGCGCGAGGGTGGGAAGGCGGCGCCAAAATATAAAATATAGTTAACAGTCAATATATCAGGGAATTGAATTTAATGAATTTGAGCAAGGTCACTAAAGAACCTACCACCGGTTCAAGAATTACAGATTCAAAGATAACGATACATGATGGTTTCAATGGTGATTCAGGATTTGAACCGGCTGTAGGTAATTCAGCTACCTCTCCAATTCATAAAATTTGGTTCTCGTATACCCCCAATGAAAACCCATGTAATGCCTACCTTTGACTTCCCTATTATCAAGTCCCCCGAAAGGAACTTCGTCTGAATTATTTTCGTCTAAAGAAACACACGAATTTGAACATGGTGTCAATTAGAATCAGATTTGAGTAGAGTAGAATCAATCATATATTTAAATGATATAATATTTTCAAAATTACCCAAAGTATGATTGAAGGATGGACAAGGAATGGACGATCAAGAAGAAAGAATGAAAAACAAGAAATATAAAAGTCTCAAAATGTTTCCATCTGATATTATATTGAAATTTAAAAATATTGTAAAATTTAATTAAAATAAATTATTAAAGTTAAAAAAATTATATGATATAAAATAAAATCATAAGGTATAAAACCTAAGAATGCATCAACATAATGCATGAAACATAACTTGAAGCATCAGACGTCAGCATCAGCATCAGCATCAGCATCAGCATCAGCATCAGCATCAGCATCAGCATCAGCATCAGCATCAGCATCAGCATCAGCAGCATCAGCATCAGCATCAGCATCAATTCATACAATCAATCAATTTGAGTCCGAACTCGTGTGTTCCTTGGGTTACTGGTTCCGGAGATGAGCTTGGAGATTTTTCAACCTTTTCGTTTTTAACTTCCTTTTCATCAATCTTCTCTTTCTCATCTTTCTTCCTCTCTTTTTCTTCTTTCCTTTTTTCATCCCTCTTCCTAGATTCCTCCTAAACAATATTTTTCAACAAATTTTTCAATGCTAAATGTTCTGAAACTATCATTTTACAGTTGCAATTAACAGTTGTGGGTTCAGAGAGCCACCGACCTGGAAAAGTAGAAAATACCAGGAAAATGTCGTATTTTTCGAGTTTGAAATGTTAAATTCGCACAGTCACGTTTACAAAGAAACCACGTAATCAATTTTCAGTCGAAAAACAAGAATATCTAATTCTTTATTGATCACACGACGTTGTCAACATGAAAAAATAGAATCACTTAAAATTACGTGAAAGGTCCCATAAACTAGCATTGAACAGACCTGTTCCTTAGCTTTCCTCTCTGCTCTTCTTTCAGCAATCTTTCGTTTTTTAATCTTCTCCTTGTCATCATTCATGATCGAGCTGAGTACATCTCCGAACATATTACTCTCCTTAATCACCGTGACAACCTTCTTAACCTGCCACCAGATCAAATATTCGATTTTGGCAAAAGTGCAAAAGTAAAAAAAAATATCAACTCCAAAATTAGATACAAATGAGAAAAGATCAAATATAAGAAATTATTTAAAAAAGAAATAGACATATTTAAAATAAGTCCCAACCAAATATTAAATCTTTCCTTTGGGCTATCATCAACAGAGGGTCTTTTTTCTCCCGAACGAGGTTTTTCGCCGAATCGAATCTTCTCCGATTTTTTCTCCTGGCGTCCGGAATCCGATGAGTTTGAATCACGACGTTCAAATTGCATTTTTTCTGCTTTCGGGAGTTTATCCTTGTGCTTCTCTTCTTTCCGTCGCTCTTCTCTCTTCTTCTCTTCTTTTTCCTCTTTCCGCTTTAGTTCCCTCTCCTCTTTCGCCTTTTCTTCCTTTGCTTTCTCCTCTTTCGCCTTTTCTTCCTTGGCTTTCTCCTCTTGTAAACGCTTTTCCTCTTCTTCTTTTAATCTATCCTCGCATTCTTTCTCCTTTCGTCGTTCTTCCTCCAGTCGTTTCTCCTCTTCTTCTTCTCGTCTTCTTGCTTCTCTGTCCTCCTCCCGCCTCTTCTCTTTTGCAATGATCTCCTTCTCAATTGCACTTTTAGACTTGGGTTTGTCTGGGCTTCCAGCAAGGCTGTTCAGAAGGTCTTTGTTCTTATTCTTCATCGGAGGGACTTTCACACTCTGAGGGATTCAAAAATAAATAAATAATAGTAACATGATGTTGGCAGTTGTTGAAGAAAAATGTTAAAATTTTTATTTCATATAAATTTTGTTGATGTAGAAGAAAACTATGAAAAAGAGGAAATCTCACTTTTTGATTATTTAACTCGAAAACAAAATAAAAAATTTCTCCAATTGAGTGAGAAGTTTTTTTCTGTAAAAACATTTTTCTGATGACAAAAGAAACACCCCTGAATCCTTAAAATACTCCAGCCATTAATCATTTCTAGCAATGCAAAGAAATCTCCCAAAACAAACAACTTGACACCGTTTAATCATTAAATCTAAAAAGACGACAATTCACTTACTTTTGTTTTGACGTCCATGGAACCAAGAATGGAATCAAAGCTGTTCCCATTCTTAGCAGCAACTGGTTCCTTAACAAAGACAAGTAAGTATACATGTTTAAATTTAGATAATTTTTCCAAAAAATACCTTTTTTGGAAGTTTTGGAATCCTGCCTAGTCCAGCTGTTAGTGATTTTCCCTTATTTTCTTCCTTTAATCTTTCCGCAATCTTCTTAATCTTATCCTTCTCTCCGTTTTCAAGTTCTTTTCGTAATTCAGTCCGAGAATACGGTTTTGCTTTTTGTTCTCTCCGTTCCCTCTCTCGTTCCTTCCGTCGTTTAAACTCACGCTCCATTTCTCTCTGATGTTTCTCCTTAAGCTTGAGGTCAACAACCTCCTTTTTCTTCTCAACCTTCTTGATGACCTCCGTTTTCTTGGTCAAGTCGTCCTCAGAGTCTGTCATTAATAATTCGTCCACATCACTATCATCATCTAAAAACGAATTATATTCAAAAAATCAAAATAATCAAAATATTCTGAGCAAATTAGGATTGTTCAGTAAACTAAGAAGATAAGTAGAAAAAATTACTTAGTAGCTGAAGCCGAATTTCTTTAGCAGTGAGGGGTTTTGGTTTGGATATTTTATCTTCCTCTCCGCCACTTGACACGGAACCCATCCGAGCAACTTTACCACATGGTTTCTCATTCTCACTTTCACTCTCTGAATCCATTATAATTCGACTTTTGGCGGGCTTTTTCGTCATAGCGGATTTTGGCGGATTTTTCGGCTTCTTTTCGAGTTTTGGTTTTGGTTTAGGTTTAGGTTTCATCTTTTTGGTTGGTGGAACATAGTCCTCAGAGTAATCATCGTCAACATCAGGGATAGGATGGAGCTCAAGGGGTGATTGGGGTCGAGGAGGTGCCTGTTTAGGAGCACTTCTGGCAACGCTCATCCACTGCTGTATAACCTAGATCAAATTTTATTAAATATTGTATAATTCAGAATTTTGTCATGCTTTTTTAAAAATGAGGCATGCTTTTTCACGATTAAATCAATTTCAAATTTAATTAAAATAAACCCCCCGGCCCACAATTTCCCTACACATTCCAAAGAAAAAAAGAGAACATTTATTTTCAATACAAAATCATCAACTCCCCCTATTAGGGAGAAAACAAAAATTATTTAACCTGACAAATATCTTCATCAAAGCAAAGCATTGGATTAAATGAATGCATGTTTTAGAATAAAGTATAAAACATGAACTAAAATAATTCCTAATATTTTTTTTAAAAAAAAAATGTTGAAAAACTACAATAAATGTACCTGAAGGGACAAGTTTCTTATTTCCGCCTCAATTCTGTTGTCACAGCTTAACTGACGAATCAGCTTGGGGGCCTAAATCAATTGATATATAATTATGCTTCAAAATTAATTTAGCATCAAAATTCGATTAAAATATTCAAAAGAGGACATTTTATTAAGGGGTGTGAGAAATGAAGGTAAAGGGGAGGGAAGATGGGGGAAGAAAAAAGAGGAAGGAAAAAAGGAAGAAACGGGGTTGGGATGGAAAGAGGAAGGTAAGGAAAGCAAAAGGAATGTAAGGAAGGGGAAGGGTGGAAAGCAAAAGGAATGTAAGGAAGGGGAAGGGTGGAAAGAAAAGAGGAAGGTATGGAAGGGAATTTAAAAATACGAAGGGAAAGTAGAGGGAATGGAGGGGACAGGTGGAGGGAATGGAGGGGACAGGTGTAGGGAATGGAGGGGACAGGGAGAGGGAATGGAGGGGACAGGTAGAGGAAATGGAGGGGACAGGTGCTTCTCTGTCCTCCTCCCG